TTCTATTCTATTCTATTCTATTCTATTCTATTCTATTCCATTCCATTCCATTCCATTCTATTTCTATTTCTATTTCTATTTCTATTCTCTATTCATTCCAATATTCTGTTCTATTCTATTCTATAATGTCATTCTAATATTTTTTGTTTTATTTTTAAAGGAGACCCCAAAACCTACAGACCCACCCAGGTATGACCTCAACGCCTGGGAAGATGTTTGCCAAAAAATCACCAAGCAAAAGGTTTGTAAGTGTTTAGAAACAAACAAGATGCTTAGTAGAAGCGAGAATAACAGGGATGGAAGGCACCTGGGGGAATCTTCTCGTCCAACCTCCATCTTAGGCAAGAAATCCTAGACCATTTCAGACCGATGGCTGTCCAATCTCTTCTTAAAAACCTCCAGTGATGAAGCATCTACAACTTCTGGTGGCAAGCTCTTCCACTGGTTAATTTTCCTCTCTGTTGGGAAGTTTCTCCTTCGTTCCAGGTTACTTCTCTCCTTGATGAGTTTCCATCCGTTGCTTCTTGTCCTCCGTTCAAGGGCTTTGGAGAATAGCTTGACTGCCTCTTCTTTGGGGCAGCCCCTCAAATATTGGAAGACTGCTGTCGTGTCATCCCTGATCCTCCTTTTCATTAACCAAGACATGCCCAGTTCCTGCAACCGTTCTTCATATGTTTGAGCCTCCAGTCCCTTAATCATCCTGGTTGCTCTTCTCTGCACTCTTTCCAGATTCTCAACATCTTTTTTTTAATAATCTGGCCACCAAAACTGGATGCAGTACTCCAAGTGTGGCCTCACTAAGGCTTTATAAAGCACTAACTAACACTTTACGTGATCTTGAACCTATCCCTCTGTTAAAGCGTTTGTTAAAAAGAATAGCTTAAGCCAGACAAATTTTACCACTTTATAATAATTATTATTATTTTTAAATCATAATCTCTTCTTACCTGGAACGACAAGTAGAATGTGTGCCACTGACGTGTCCAAAACATAGTGATAGCTGTTAAGCCAGTGACGGAGAGGAAGAGGGTAAAAAGTGTCACACGCTAAAGAGATCAAGAAGGATTATTTATTGATTTATTTTTGAATATATGTTTTTTATTGTTTACATATAAATGTCAACTCATAAAACATTTCTATGCCTGTTTTAGAGTTGCCACGAACAGAAGTGGGAGGGAGAAGAAATTTAAGAGCAGTGTAGCAGTTGGAACTGAAGGTGCATTCCATTCATATCTTGCAAAGATTATAACTAAGCTACCACAATTTCTGCAGTGCAAATCTCCAATTGGAGAACGTGATTGATGACTCTTGGCTATGAGCGTGTTTCGCTGGAGGATATGAATTGTGATGCACCCAGAGGGGTGGTGGGAAACCAGGGTCAAAGGTGACAGTGAATTACACGTCTCAGAACCAGCTTCATACAGGTCACGCTGACATGTTTGCTCCTAATAAATTCTTTGAAGTTTTTGAAGCTTGGCTCAAGGCTCATTGAGAGAATATGATTAAAAATAAAATAACAGACTGTGACAATCAGAGTCTGCAGAAGGATTTATTGTAAGATATTATTGCAAAACCGGCCCCCAACTCCCAATAACAGATTAGGAGAAGGAGATTCCAGTCATTACAGCCTTATATAGGATTATCACACTTAAAAGATTACATAATATGTCCTGTTTCTCACAGATAGAAGTTAATACAGATTCTCATAAGAAAGAAATGAGTATTCCTGGGACTACTTTGGGACTGCTCTTCCCAGACTCTTTCCACAGAAATCCCCTAATTCACCTCATCTTCATCATGATCATCAGATTTCCTGTTATTCGTTTAAAAGGTTACACAAGAGATCATTAAGAACCTCCTAATGTCAGAGCAACCTAGCATGAATCTCAAATGAAGCCAAGGGCACAATATTTTGCAATTTTTCAGAACTTTAGCAAAATAACAAGTTATATAAATGTTCCGGTCTCTAGAAGGTCAGATCAAGAACAAAGATGGAATCTGTCTTGTTCTTTATATTCTTAGGTAAATTTTCACATGAAACACTCCTGGTTTCATTTAATCCTGACAGCAGGGTTGAATATTGAACACAGTGTAATTTGGCCATGGCATTCCATTTGCCATAAAACAGAAGTAAAAACAAAATAACACATAGGCAAATATATACATATAATGACCACCATATCATATGTCAACTTCTCTACCATTGTAATACTTAACATTCCTCTATCAATAATACAAGCAGTATTTCTTTCCAAGTCCCTCACACCTACTTCTTTTGCCGTCAAACTTCTACCTCATCTTTCTAACCTAGAGGTCTCCAAACTTGGCCACTTTAAGATTTGTGGACCTTCAAATACTGGAACACTGCTATAATGTCACCCCTAATTCTTCTTGCCATTAAACTAGACATATCCAATTCTTGCCACGTTCGTTATATGTTTTAGTCTCCAGCCCCTTAATCCTCTGTTGCTCTTCTTGGCCCTCTTCCCAGAGTCTCGCCATCTTTTTTATAAGGCGGTAACCAAAATCGGAGGCCGTATTCCAGGTGTGGCCTTACTAAGGCTTTATAAAGCGGTACTAAGACTTCACGTGATTTTGATTCTATGCGTCTGATGATCAGCTGCTGCTGCAAACAGCTGGCTGATGTTTAAGTGATCGTCTAACTAGGACTCCAACATCCAGTTACTGCTTTTTAGCCAGGTACTGTCTCATAATCTATACCTGTACATTTGGCTTTTCTCGCCTAGGTGTAAAATCTCCCCTTTTTTTTCTTCTACATTGAATTTCATTTTCCAGGGTTGATTTCCCCAAACTGGAAGGAGGTGGCCATTCGGAAGGAAGTCAAATGAATTTACCTTATGGAACCAGTGCATTTCCAACTCTTTACTTTCAAAGAGTAGTAAAACTGCTATGAACTGTAAAATAAGAGCACAGGCTTAGTTGTAGCCAACCGTTGGCATGGGAAGAGGAAATGTTTATGTTTTGCTAAATTTAACAAATTGTTAATAATGTATTAATCATTAATGTTCATACATAAATAGAGGTATTAATTTTTCCCTAGCAATCCCAGGGTTTGTGGAGGGAGGAGGAGGGCGGGCAGTGGGTCATTGGTGCTCTCTGAACTTGGCTGTTTGCAGACATTTCATTACCCAACTAGGTAACATTATCAGGTTCTGCAACAAGACAACCAAGCTCAGAGAGCATCAAGGACCCCACATGTGGAAGTGTGTTTTAAAAAAAGAGAGATAGCAGATACAACCAATGCTTGCTACTTTTTGTCAATGTTACAACACGTGTTTTAAAAAAGGACTGTTAGCTACTGTTTTCATTCATCCATCCGTTTGTTCATTCATTCATTCATTCCTTGACACTCTGTCACTCCCCTGGACACCCCAGAAGTACTAAACTATGTTATATTCTATTCTATTTTGTTCTATTCTTATTATATTCTATTATTCTATTCTGCTATTCTATTCTATTCTACTATTCTATTCTATTCTGAATCCTATTCTATTCTGAATCCTATTCTATTCTATATTCTATTCTATTCTATTTTATACTTATTCTTATTCTATTCTATTATTCTATTCTACTATTCTATTCTATTCTGAATCCTATTCTATTCTATTTTCTAGTTTGTTCTTTCTCTATTCCATTCTCTATTCTATTCTATTCCTTTCTTATTCTATTCTATTCTATTCCTTTCTTATTCTATACCTTTCTTGTTCTATTATATTCTATTGTATTCTACTCTACTCCTATTCTATTCTATTCCATTCTAATCAGTTTAATAGCCATGTGTGCAAACCTATTTTTCCCATCTGCCTTTCGAATGCAGCCTCTGCCTCTGAGCGTTAGGTCTTTCACCCAATCACCCAACCACACCTCCCCTTAGAAGTTTGGGCTGATATCCGCGTCATCGTCTTGCTTTGGGGGAAGTCTTTTCACCAAAGAAAGACTTACGATTAAGAAAAACAGGTAGGAGAAGACGAAGACCGCCAGAAACAGCAGGAAAGTCGACCAGTGAAACCAGTAGCCTAAATTGATGAAGCTGTACCTAAAAGGATGACAAGGAACAGTGACCTTGCTCAGTAGCAAATGACTCCATTTCTTCTTCCCAAGTAGAATAATGGAGTTGGAAGAGGCCTTGGAGATTCTTCTAGTCCAGTGGTGGCTAACCTTGACCAGGGTCAAGAGTGACAATTAATAATGTGCCTCGGAGTCGGCAACATCCAGCCAGTGCCGGACATGTTAACTCCCAATAAATCCATTTGAAGTTTTGGAAGTTTGGCTCGAGGCTCATGATTTAAATGGGATTAAATGCTGGAATCCTGACAGCTTGCTGTTTCTGAGACCCAAAATTCATTGTCATAGAACCGCGCACGGAACCGGTAGGAAAAAAAAATGGAAACCCATCCCTGGTCTTGAGTCACATTTTTCATTGCCGTTGTAACTTTGAACAATCATGAAATGAACTGTTGTAAGTCAAGGACTGCCTGCGATAGCAATAAGAGCCTTTGGACACTTACCAGTCAAAGCTGTTGTAGTCATTCCTGGCTTCTCCCCACATATACAGAAAGACAAAGGAAAAGCTGAATGTGAAAGCCAAGAGGGAAAAATACATACATTCTCCCTATAATTAAAAATAGGAGAGAAAAGCATCATATTTAGACTTCGATAGGAACAATTGTGCTGCCTGAAATGTATGCCGTGGAGGCTACCCCTGAGAATTTAGGCTTCTCATTAGTTTTCCAGGGTTGCTTCCACCTGCTTCAGCCTACCTTGTGAAAAAGAAAAAAGAAAAAAAACCCAGCACAATACCTTTTATAGCACTAGGCAGAATGGGAATAAAATAAAATTCATTAAAAGCTCAACTTAATGGATCATTCTAGGTGGAAGGAGTGTCCTTTAAATCCAGCTGTCTGTTAAATCCAGCTGTCCATTAAATCCAGCTGTCCGTTAAATCCAGCT